TTCCAATATTTTGATAAACTCAATACATTTGTAGTGAAATGTATACAGTTTAAAACTCAGGCTTTATAACACAGTGTGGTCCTGGTCAGGCAACAGAGGTAGTAACAATAATAAAGGAAACTCAATGAACGAGACAGTTTTAGCATGATAGTGTCTCTTAGCACAAATTCACATAGCTACTAAGATTGGACATGTCTTGGAAAAGATCTAAAAGGCAGAAGAGGAGGCACACAGGAAGTTAAAACCCTTTCTGCTAATAAAGGCTATTCTTCAGAATTCATGTTGCAATTTCTCTGCAATTTCTGTGATCTAGATTGCACCAGGACTATCTCCATAATGGAGGACTGAAACCTGAAGTTCTGATTTTAGAGCAGGCTGTGCTGCAATTAAAAATAATGAATGCATCCATCTTTTCTGCTGATTAAAAAAAAAAGCAAGCATACATGTGGTTTGCCATATTTGAGCCACAAAAAATCCAGATGACTGCTAGAATCAAGTTTTCTGCATCTTTTGCTGCTATCTAGTGGTTGTCCAGATGTGTGCAGTCCACTTCTGGTAATGTAACACAGAGGTACAGAAGGAGCAAACAAAAATTAAAACCTCATGTGATAAATGATAACCCACATGTATGCTTGAATTCCTCTCTAAGCGTCATTCTTAATCCTTCCCAATAGAGTGACTATTCCTTTTCCTTACCATGCACAACACAGTAACATGCTTCTACTCTTCTGAAACAGCAGCCTAGAAGGAATATTTGTTGCTTTCTTTAAATAAAAATTATTGCCTGCTCCAATAATTCACTTCCGGTACAAGACTACATGAGACTTGAAAAGTCTTCTTTGAGAGAGAAAAAAAGAAAGATATAAAAGTTCTGTCTCATTTTATGTAACAAATCAGACTTTCCTTTCTTAAAAATGGCAGGTTTGTTCTGATCTCCTGACCAAATGTATTTTAAAGAGATGTACTTTGGCAATCTTTCTACACAAAGTGATGGCAGGGACCTCTAAAAATGTTTTTACTCCAGGCATAACTCATAATACTAGGCACAGTATACTATTTTTTTAAAAAAAGATAATGTATTGCATTTGAGCTATTGCGATTTTTGTTTATGCTCCTCTATAACTGCATTCAAAAATTTCAGATGATCTGTAAGGAAGTAAGTCATATTAATAAAAAGTAGAATACTTCCCAATGAGGGCTGAAGAAAGGCAACTAATCATTCTGTAGTACAGGTGATCCTGATGCAGAACGAACCTAATGAAGTTATTTTAATGTGGACAATTGTAATAGATGTTGCATTTTGAAAAGAATTGTGCTTTCATTAGACACAACGCAAAGATCTTCTCCTTTCTGATTGCCTCTTTCTTCATGAATATTTAATTGCCAGAGCAATAACTCAAAACTCTATCTAGCCCTGCACAGTATATCTTCTTACTGGCAAAATGGGACAAGCACAAGTATATTGTCACTAGTGAAAGTTACAAATACTAGAGGCAAAATTGTTGATAAAACTAACAAATTAGCAAGATGTGTCTGGGCAATGGCTGACTTCTATTAAATCATAAGCCAATCTCACCGAGTTTGCACAACACACTGAACCATAAATTAACCAGCTACATTTTAGTCTACAGAGTTATACAAACCTATTCCTGCCTTATGTATTTCATTTCTTGCTCTGATGTACTTGCTGTCCATTTATAACTTTTCTCTGTTTTCTCTCTCTTCAGCTCCCTTTTTTCTCTCTAACTACAGAAGATCTATTACAGAAAAATAAACTACAATAGCTATTTTTTTTTATTGTAAAGGTCTAAGTTATCTGTCCGAAAGTGTCCAAACCACTTTTTCTCCTGAGATCTGATATACTCTCTTGGCGTAATGGTATACAGATCTCCAAGAAAACTGGGATATAAAATGGAAACCAAACAATTTTGTCATCATTTCCAAATGATGGATTTGAGTTCATGTTGCTCTGAAATCCACAATGATTTTGCTGTATAATCAAGTATATCCCCTCACTTAATCAAGTATTTTGTCCTGAGAAATCCTTCTCCAGTTTAAAATATTAAATGAGCCTCTGCATGTATGGTTTGTTGGCCATTTAACTGAAAACTAGCTGTGCAGGTGTAGGTATGTAGGTTCTTACACTGTTCAAGTGTGATATAATTCTCATTAAATTACTATAATTTGGTGACAAGAATCACACGAGCAAGAATTTTTCACTTGTTGCCACTATTTTCTTGATTGTTTCTTGCAATTATTTTAATGCAATTATTTCCCAACTAGGCCTAGATGTTCATCAATACCCAAACAAATTTGTTCAGAGTATGAGAGTTAGAACTTCAAGAAGTTTTCTACCCCAGCTACCACCATGGGATGGGCACCAAGCCTGTGAATTCCAAGAAAGGGTAAGATAATAATTTACACACATACACTAGCGGTATATATGTCTATCGTATGAACCTGGAGTTAATTCTTGAGGGGAAAAAAACCAAGAGCTTTTTGTAAATGGTTATCAAGAAAGCCCAGAATTACAGAATTGGTTCAAAATCGACCCAAGAGAGTTTGTGCACCGTTAACTGAATACTGACAGAAAGCTGTGATGCAGAATGAGATTCACTTTTTCCTTCTGGGTTAGAATTTGAAGCAGTAAATTTCAGCAATAGTATCAGAAAGGCAACCCCCCTTTTTTCACAATATGGTTTTAAAAAATCCTTCACAATAGTATGTTAGGGCAGAGAATGGCCCTTTGACTTCAGCATCTCCAGTACTGGTGGATTCCTAATAGTTTTGCTTGTTCCAGTAGAAAGTTTGGGAATCATTGTAGACAAATAACAGTTTCATGAAGATGCAGGTTGACATAGTTATGTTGGCTGTCAATTTTTCTTTCTCCCTTTCCTTCTCTTTCCTCCCCTCCCTTTGAGCCAGCAAGTACCCAACTTTCTGCATGAATTATACTGCGTTCTGCGCAATGCAGAAATATTACTGGAATTTGCCCTTCTAATCCCAGAGCAGGCATACATTGGTGAACACTACTGGTTCCACATTATGTTAGCAATGTGATTGGGTTTTTCTGGATTTCACTTCTGGGGCTAGCAGGCAGTATTAGGAAGTGTCTTTGAGTCAATGGAGGAACAGAATTCTGCCTCACTGAGCTGGCAGTGTTGAGGAAATCTCCTTGCCCTCACTTCCGGAGCTAGCAGACACTGGAGACATAGTCAAAATCTTTGAAAGCATCCTGTTCCTTTTGGGTGAGGGGCCGTGATTCACGGGGTGGTGTCAGCACAGCTGCTTCAGCAGTAAACTCCTCATCAAAGTTGCTGATGTCTTCACGGCCCTTAATTACTGGCACAAAAGGTGGTTTGATCTTACGAGCCAGCAAAGCTTCCCAGTCAATGCTCTGTGTGCAGGGGGGGAAAAAAGTAAGAAATCTTGACTTCTTTGAGATGATTGTTAATATTAATCAGAAAAGGAAATTATATAACTAAACACACCATGAGTCCTTTATCTGAAGCAAGAAGAGTATACAAAATAAGCTACAAGATACTGGAAATATATGAAGCCTACAGCAATAGTTAACAATAAAAACCATCCATTTCAGAGCAAGAAGCTTTCTTTTCAAAATCCGTATTTGGCCATTCATTTGAGCTGTGCTTCTTTTGAGGTACTTCATTTGAGCTATAGACTTTAGATGCAGAAACAGTGCAGGGAATCTTCCACTTCAGGAAAACCGTACACAGACAGTAAAAGTGTTTTGGGTGCAACAAGACTGCTTTTTAAAAAAATAGCATAAGCATTCACAAACTGGCATCCATGTGATCAGATATAATAGTCTATGTTTTAATGGATTAAAATTTCCTTGCCTTTAAAACAGACATAAGGGATCTGCTTTTAACACTAGCACAGAGTGACCTTCTTTAAGAAGGCACAAAGGAACACTGTCTTGGTTGCTCTGATACAGCCCTAGTGAAGGATGGTCTCAATTGATAGTTTTAGTCCAGAAGATGGTGCAGAGCTTTCTCCATAACTAACAATCAGAAGAAAGAATAGAAAAGGAACAAAGTACTGACTCTGAAAAATGGGTGCTTCTTCACATCCTCTGCATCGCGCTCACTAGACCCCAAGCGCCTTTCTGGATTCCGACGCAGTAGCTGATGAAAAGTGAAGTTGTCAACATCAAATCAACATGGGCAGACAAAACAACTCTCATCTACCACTTTCTCCCACAAGCCCAGAACAGTGTTTTACATGACTATTGTACCCCAAACCTAATGTCACGGATGGAAACATTGCACCTAAACCTATGTCCATTATGTTCAAGTCTCCCTCCCTGCATTCTCCTAATGCTGCAACCCCATTAGAAGAATCCCCTCTCCAGTTTTAGTCCTGGCAAATTTACAGGCACTCACCCGGCGCATGATTCCAATTGCCTCTGTGGAAAGAAAACGAGGGTAGCGCACTTCATCATTGACAATGCTGTCAAATACTTCTTCTTCATCATCTCCTGGGAATGGGGACTACAACATCAATTGGGACAGAATCAGATGTCAGTCTGGGTTCTTCCATCATTCTCAGAACCAATTTCCACCCATTCTCACCATTCCTAGATTTCCAGAAAAACTTGAGAAAATGGATCAGCATCTTCCAACCTGGACAGTTTCCAGACTTGAAGTCCCAGAATTGAAGCAACAGCCATGCTTCCTGGAGAACTTTGAAAGTCTGGAGACCACACACTTGGAAGTTGCCGAGATTAAGAAATACTTTGACCTGCTATATCAAGCTCCCTGTGAAGTATTTCAACCTTGTTTGTTATGCCACACATTTAAACACCCCATTTAGTTTATTTTCTCTTTAATATTTTAATGGCATACTTCAAACAGGATGTAAAGTCCCATTTCCAAGCATCAAGGTTGACTCAGCCTTCCATCCTTCCGAGGGGGGTAAAATGAGGACCCAGATTATTGGGGGAAATAGGCTGATTCTGTAAACCCTTTAGAGAGGGCTGTAAAGCACTGTGAAGTGGTATATAAGTCTAAGTGCTCTTGCTCTTGCTATCTAATCCAAAAAAACATTTTTTACCCACTTGCTGTTTTCCATAATTACATAAGGGTGACTTACCTCGCCTACAAGCATCTCATAAATAAGGACCCCCAAGCCCCACCAGTCGACTGCTCTTGTGTAGGAGGTATCTGTAAGCACCTCAGGAGCCAGAAACTCTGGTGTCCCACAGAATGTGCTGGTACGGTCAGCATAGCCCATTCCTGGCAAACAAAGGAAAGCTCTATTAAAAATATGACTTCAGCAACAATCCTCAACCAAAGTGTAGAGAAGAACAAGAATTTTGAAATCTTCATAGAAAGTTCTGAAGTAGGAACAGGATTGTCCACAGCTGGTGGGGGAGGAGGGTGAATGGCATCCAAATAGTGAGTGTACAACTGAGCAACTGAAGTCCCACCCCTAATGCATCCCACACAGGTAAAGTGGTGTGGGACTTGGTCACCTGGTTACATTTGACATATAGATGTTATTGACCACAACTCCTAGAAACACCTCTGAATAGGGACTTTTTTCCAACTGCTAATGTCTATATTTTTGTATATTGTAAGACTACCACATACATGCATGGTGATTGTACAAAAAAATCTTGGCAAAACAGATGCTTCTCTCACCTCTTTTGCAGTCTCTTTTCTCCCTAACTGACAACTAAGGCATTTTTTGAAGTAGCTGCAGATCAGCTTCTGCTAATCAAGCCAGTATAATGCTAAGAGACACCTTATGTTTTCATTTTATTTAAAATATTTATGCCAACTTTTGGAGACAATTATCCCATCCCCCCAAATCACCTTCTTTGCAGAGGCCAAAATCTGCAATTTTCACAAAGCCTTCTGTGTCCAATAGTAAGTTGTCCAGCTTCAGATCCCTGAAGGATAAGAAAATAACTACTGTATTTTGCAGGAATTGTTACCTACTGCCACAAATGTTACTAAGGCAAATGTTTTACACAGGAATCCTCCGTTATAACCTTATATCTTTGTGGCAGAATCTAAAGACATGACTACATTTCAAAAGTCATATTTAGGAGAAATGGTATGATAAACAACATTTATCCTTGCTAAGTGAAAGTAGTTACTCAAATGAAAAGAGTTGGAAATTAGTATGCAAATTGTTCTTCCTTATTGACTGCTCATTAAGCAACCAAAATTATGACCACATTGAAAAAGGAGAATTAGGACTAGTCCTCATATTTGTAGCTCTCACAGTGTCCCCGGAATCATGTAATTTGGGCACTTGACAATCAGTGCATATTTACATGGTTACAGTATCCTGGAATCGTTGATGACCTTCAAAATTATCTTCCAAAAAGCAAAGTCAATAGGGAAGCTGGCAGGAAGTCTCAAGTTAAACTAACATAACATCATAGTATGATTTACTTAATGACTGCAGCTAGAACAGACATTGCAAGTTGCAGTCATATGACATTTCACTTTCCAACTCTGCCAGTAGCTATGGAATTACCGATCCCAACTGTGGTCGGTAAATGAGGACTAGCTATAGTGCAATAATATGATAATATGGAAGGATGAGAAAAAAACTAGGAAAGAAAGGAAATATATGGAATGGCTTTAATAGTGATGCTTACCTATATACTATCTTGTGGTCATGAAGAAACTGCAGCCCCAGGACAACACAAGCAGCATAAAACCTGAAGGTGAGAACACATTGTGAAACCACAGCAGCACAGGTAATGCCAGCTGTATTCTAATAGCCAACAATGATTTCCATTTGTGGGAGTTATAATCTAAGGGTGAACTATAATATAATAAATAAATAGGACTGAAAACCAAGATCTAAATCTGCTCTCAGTATATTGGAAGGATAGCAACATTTAAAATGGCACCCAACAAGATCCTTTCAGGAACTCTTTAGCTGCATTTTTCCATTGTAAGGTCTGTCTTCTTCTCCCCTCTGATGTGGCACTTACGTTGCACGTGGCTCTGAGAAAACATCGGTGTGTATGTGCATCATGAGGTCACCACCTGCTGTGTACTCCATGACGAAACAGACATGCTGGGGTGTCTGGAAACAGGCGAAAAGGTTCACTAGGAAAGGATGCCGTGCTTGGGTCACAATCTCAAAAATCCGCTTCTCACACATCAGGCTAGGAAGAAGGGGAAAACTATTATCAGGATGGGAGACAGCCATGTACAATTCCATCCTCAGCCATGTTAACTATCACTTTCATAATTGCCGTGGTGCACAACTACACATCATTCAAAAGAACAGACCTTGACAGACTTGCACATGTGAGCGGTTCTATACTATATTTGTCTGGGCATTTACCTTTTCCATTTCTAACTCCCAGTTAACTCACCTCTCTACTTCATCTCTTGCAACAATATCCCCTTTCTTTAAGGCCTTAATAGCAAACAGTTCTTTTGTTCGGTGTAACTCAGATAACAACACCTATATAAAAAATGAACAGAAGCAAAGTCATTAGTTAAGATATTGATCGGTGACTAGGAATAGTGGTCAGGAAATGCAAAGGAGGCTCACAGAGGGGAAAAAATCTTTCAGCTCTATATCAGGTTTGTTCTCAGCTTGATTGTTTTTTAGTATTCTGATTTTGATCAGGCATATAAACCTAATATAAGGTTAAGTCCTACTGTAATAACTGATCTTCTGTTGGTAACACCAACAGTTATTATAAAAAAAAATGTCATCCTATTTTTCCAAGATATATATATGTTATGAAAGGGTTCACTTAACACAGATAAAATATGACTTTAGTTATTTAAAAAAAATAAACATTCTAAAAGCATAATGGTTGTTTTGGCTATATTTAAGGCATATGTTCGTAGGCATATGACTGAACAAGCTTCGGGGGGAAATAAAACACGTAAAAAGAGTTGGAAAATAAAATTTAGGAGCTTTTAAAACATATACAAGAGAACCTACAATGGAACTGCATAAAGTATTATGCCTATTAAAGTGGAACTTAATTCCTTTTGTGCATTTGATATACAATGTTCATTAAAAGACAACAACCACAGAGCATCAATTCTTCCACTGTGAATGTCCAGAACAAAGTATGTGATTCTGATCTAATAAGCCATTAAAAAAAAAGTTTGAAATACTGACTCAAAGGTTACACTGGAAGAAAATATACAGAATTAGGTGGTTTATCTAGATCATCTTTGTAGCCTAGAGTACCTCTTGAAATATTTTTCAAAAAATACGAAAGCCTCATAATACAATTCACTTCAAACTGACACTTTTATGACCTTTTCAACAAAATGGGAACGCATGTTTATGACCTTTGCAATATAAAGTGGCATGCTGACAGCTAAATCATGGTGCATAAAAATTCTCACCACTGCGACACTGGCTTCAAGCAACACACACAAAGTGGAAGCTATTCTCACGATACCTAACCTTCCATAAAAGGGACCTTCCTAATGCAGAGGTCTCCAATCGTGGCCACTTTAAGACCTGTGGACTTCAACTCCCAGAATTTCCCGGCAATCATGGCTGGCCATAAGTCTTAAAGTTGTCAAGGTTGGAGTCCCCCATCCCAAAGGATTGCAACCACTTGTAGATTAGCACAAGGCCACCTCTGTAGGAAGACCACCCCACTCATTGGATATTGTGTCTGTCAAAAGCTTCTGAAAAATGGAAAGATAAGTTGAGTGCAAGGTGACTGGATGGAAGGCATCTAAGGCAATGGCAGCTTCATGTATGCTGGTAGCCCCAGGAGCCAATTGAGGCTCCTGGACATTGCTAGGAGGGAAGCAGGTCCAGGGCTACAGCAGCTTCATATGTACCAGTAACCCTTGGAACTGATCAAGGGCTTCACATACGGCTGGGTGGAGAGCAGCCTGAAAACTTTCAGGACTGTGGTAGCTTCGCATGCACTATAGTCCTTGGAGCATCCAATGCCTCCTAGCCCATAGAAGGTTTCTGTGTGCCAACAGGCCCTGGGCCTCCCAGAGCTTCCCCCATTCCTTAAGGAACCTCCATATTCTGCTTAACAGCAGCAATTGTGTGAGATGGGGTGGTGCTTGTTGAGCGAAGCAGTCACATGAAGAGTCACCTAATGACTGCTTCACTCAAATGATAAGAGATTTTGGGCCCAACTGTGGTCTTCAGTCAAGATTTAGCTACATTGGAGTTACAAAGGAAACCTATTAAAGTTTCAAAAGAAGGATAAAGAAAAGAAAAAGATGAAAAATCAGAATTACTTCAAGATCGCTATATATACATTTACTATAGAGTTTGAAAAATTTCGAACAGATTTATAAATTATTAGGAATGTTTTTATATGAACCATCCTTAAATCTTCTTAATCTAAAAAAATTATAATGACAGGGGCTTCAATTGTCCTGAATGTCAGCTTTATCAGTGGGTGTATATATATGTTGAGTTGCATTTCATTATGGAACCAAATTATTATCTGGCTGTCTTTGATAGGATAGAAACGAGTGGTCCCCTTTTTAGTCAAAATTTTATTCAATTTCAAATATTAAAGTTGTAACAAAATATTAGTAATTTATGACAGAAAGAGACAGTGCTGCCAAGAATTTCTGATGAAGATCAAATTTAGTATCTAGATCCTTGAGAATCTTGAGATGGTATTAGTTGTTTGCTCTCTGTTTAGGAATTTAGTTCTTTTTTGATATAATGGAAAGATTGATTAATATTTTTCTGTGTGGTCAAGATCTAGTGCTAAGTTTAAAAACTGAGCTGTTTCATTGTATACCAGGGGTGGGTTTCAACCGGTTCGCGGCGGTCCCCGCGAACCGGTTGGTCGGCGAACCCGGAAGTAAGTAACTTCCGGGAACGGCGAAGGGCTCACCCGCCCGCCCGCGCTCCTTACCCGGCTTTGACGAGTTCTGCGCTTCCACGCATGCGCAGGACGCATACAGCGCCTGCGCGATCCTCCAGGAGCAGCTGGAGCATCGCACAGACGCTAGTACGCATGTGTGCACTGCGTGCGTGCACGAGGACGCCGCCGGCCCCGTTCCAACCGAACCGGTTGGAACGGGGCGAGAAACCCACCCCTGTTGTATACCATTCTATCTTTCTTTTACATATTTTCTTTCTTAACAATAACATGTATTAACAATGAAAGGAACCTGGACTTCAGCATTCCACCCTGTGTTTATTCTCACTCTGCTACTAATTGATGCCTCTGCATGCAATACTCACTTTGCCAAAGTGCCCACGACCTAGCACAGCTACAAACAGGAAATCATCCATAGTGAGAGGTGTTTTTCTCAAATGGCTGCTACAAAAAAAAGAGTGAGTCAGGTATGGCTCCCTACCACCAGCTCTACCATAACATACATATATACAAATTCTTAAAGAAATGAAGTTGTTAAAGAAAGTCAATGGTTTAGAAAAATCAACTCTGGGCTTTCCCTTTTCCTATGTATATGTAACAAAACTTTTCCCAACTCTCCCAATTTGTGGACTTTATAATCCCTTAGCCATGATGGCCATTGAAGATAATTCTGGGAACTACATCTAAGCAAGTTAAGAAGGAAGTTTGAGACAGGCATTATTCATCTACTAGGTAAATAACGTATTTCTCGGAGTATAAGACACACCTTTTCCCTCAAAAAAGAGACTGAAAATCTGAGTGCATCTTATACACTAAATACAGAATTTTTTTGCCTCTTGAAACCCTGCCCCCTTCACCAAAATGGTCGTGCAGAGTCTGTATGAGGCTTTCAGAGTGCTCCTGGGGGCTGGGGAGGGCAAAAATGAGCGAAAAACGGGCCATTTTTTGCTTAATTCCCTCCCCCACAGGAGCACTCTATAAGCCTCCTAAAGGCTATGCATGCAATTTTTTTGATAAAAAATGAGTCCATTTTTTCAAAAAAAAAAAAAAAGGCCCTTTTTTGCTCATTTTGGGGTCCACACCCCAGGAGCACTCTACAAGTCTCCTAAAGGCTAATCATGCCTTTTTTTAAAAAAACAGGGCCGTTTTAGCAAAAAATAAATAAATAAAAAATACCCGGGCCATTTTTGGGAGGCCTGCAGAGTGCAAAAACTTTTTTTTTATTTGCCTCTTCAAAATCTTGGTGCGTCTTATACTCTGATGCATCTTATACTCCGAAAAATACGGTAAGTAGGATTGAAATTAGCAAAACAAATCACCCCTACTTTTTTATATAGGGACTTATCAAAATAATTGTATCTTGTACAATCACATGAAAAAATAACTTATATGGGATAAATGCAGATGTAATTGATGGCATACCACCAGATTTAACTGACATAATTTTATCAGCAAGCACATACAAGATGTAGGTCAAGGTGAGGGAGAAAAGCAAAGAAACATCTAAAGACAAGGAAATTATCTGTGTTTTGCCTAGAGATATATTAACTCAACTCCCATTAGAATTCACTGCTTGCAAGGTGAGCTGTAAATGTTCTACCGTGATGGGAAATTAAATCATTTATTATCAAACATTTTGCTGGTGACATTTATTTCCTCAGACATCACTATATGCATTAGTGTTTTGAACCACTATGCATTGTGCACTTTTAATGAAGCAAATCCTAGGTAGAAAAATCAGTGTATCAGCAACTATGAATTTATTTGCAACACAAGCTGTTTATCATATGCTGACAGATCAAGGGGTTAGAGATATAAATGATGCATTTCAAAGGAAAGGGTAATTAATAGCAAGATAAAATAATTAAACAGTATATGATGGCAGAAAACAGGGGTGAAAGCTGTTTCCTACCTGTGAAAAGTACTTCCAGATCCTCTAGTCTCACCTCCTGAACCTAACTCCATCTGAAAGACCTCCTCCCCAGCTTGTGAAGTCTGTAAAGAAATAGAAATATAAAAAAGAAGTAACTGCTGGAAATCAGTAGCTTCACTGCTGACAAACTGAAAAGGAGACACTTACCAGTAAGACCTTCCCAGGAAGCTCAGCATCATCCTGGCCCAAATGCCCAATTTGAATTCTATCCCCGTCCAAATTCAGCTTCTCGATGGCAATGTCCCTGGATGGGGGTAAATGCCAATCTTAAGAATCACATGGAAAATTACTACAGAACCTACAACCTGAGGAGAAGTTGCGTTAATTCAGGTATTTACTCCAGAACATCAGGGGGTTGAGACACTGATGGCTTTCCAAATGTTTCTGAACTACAAGCAGCTCTAGCCTTCAGGGTCAACAGTAAGAGATGTAGTAAGCTAAACATGGGAACTATAATACTGAGGTGATTTAGCAGGGCATCTTGTGGTCCAAGGAATTTTACATTAGTCCCTCAAATACAGGCAGTTCGACTGCTCAGCAGTTAAGATGCTGGGCATGTCAGTTGAAAGCTGACAGCCCTGGTTCAAGACACGAACATTGCTCAATGGGGTGAGCTCCTGTTTTGGCCTAGCTTCTGCCAATCTAACAGTTCAAAAGCATGCAAATGTGAATAGATAATTAAGTACCACTTTGGTGGGAAGGAGAGAGTGCTCCATGACATCTTGCTGGCCACATGATCACAAAAATATCTTTGGACAACATTGGCTCAATGGTCTCTGGAACGGAGAGAGCTACCCCTTATGTTAGGACTAGCAGAGTAAATCTGCAGGGATACCTTTCTTTCCTCAATATATGGATTCAGAAATATCCAAACCTTAACTTTCTTTCAATCAGCCAATAGCAATGAAATAAAAGAAGTATAATATGAAAAAAGAAAACATGGTTTTTAAATGCTGCAGCAGCTAAGATTTTTAACTGCTCAGCCCTCACCTTCAAGTATAAGAAACACCTACCCAGAGGTATGCCTACTTTCTGAGCCAGATGTTGGAGTCATCTGCGTTGAGGGGCTATAAGTGCCTGTAGTACTGGCAGTGGGAATGATGCGTCGCAGGAGACGTACCCATGTGGCAATATCAATATTCATCTGACGAGCACGCAAGAAAGCTTTCCCTAGGAACGAAACAGATGAGGAAGAACAGCTGGAATTTTGCAAGTGATGGCAGGCATATACATTTAAGATTCCTTGACTGATGGGGTCGGCAGCATGCCCCTTCTGCCAGATCACTACTGTATATCCAATGTAAGCTATTATCCTTTTACACCCAGCTCCATCCAACATGGATTAGGAAACCTGAAGGCCTCCAAATGTTAACGGACTCTAATCCTCATTAAATTCAGCCAACCTATCCCAAGTATAGATTATAATAAAGCTGTTATGATAAAGGATCTTTTGTGAGAATCAGGTTAAATTAAAGATACCGAGGTACTCTTAATATTTAAAGTATGCTATGTATGTTTCTAGATACCAATGCTTGTGTATTTATCTCATAAAAGACACAGGTATTTAACAATTAATGAAATTGCTTGAAAGTTGAATGGCTTCAACTTCTGAAGCCATTTTATGAAAATGATGTGTTCAACTTATGGAATGGAATATTTAAATGCAGCAAAAAAATAGCTGAGTATGTTACTAAATTTCATTGGGGAGGCCAATAAGTTACTTTTCTGCCCAAGATCCTAGCAGGAAATGTTCCCTTGGAGGGGAAAAAAAAATACTTTGGAGAAGCTCATCCTTGGCCTGATCATCCTCATCCTTCCTCATTTACACAATGAGAATAATGTGAACAACCACAAATGATATGCAACAGATCTTCGACAAGAAAAATATGCGAATGTGATATTCCAGCACCTTATTTCGAATGTCATTTCTGTCTCAAAGCTAACCAAGCTGGCAATCTGTATGACCCGATCGTTCAACATTGTAGACTAAGGAAGTGCCCAAGCAGACCAAGCAAAGCTGGCTGATCAAGATTCAAACCGTGGTCTGATTCCTTACCTTGCTGCTTGGAAAAGATCTTCTTCTGTCGCTGGAGCTTGGGTATGCGCTCAATGACAGGGTTAAAAAAGATAACCTGCAGCAAGAGAATGTACTGTAAGCCAGGCAAAGGTGCAGTGCATCCTGAGATAGAGCTGCAACACTGCTGCAGTGAAAAGCAGCCTTGAGGCTCTGAGGCTGTTCAGCAAGTTAGATCGACCCAGATGCAAACAGCAGCCTCTGGCTGTCTGGGGCTGAGGAGCCTCCATCAAAAAGGAGGAATTCAGTCCTCCTCCTCATCCATCATCAGCATCTTAGCCATCACAGTGCAAGGCTCCCCCCCCCTCAGTTCTACTGCCCCACTTTCTACAAAAGCTGAAAGGTCAAACCCCCAAAACCAAACCCATAACCAGAAATCCCAGATGTTTATTTATGAATACTTTCCTACTACTCTTTATCTTTAGTACATTCAAAGTGAATCACAACCTGGCTGAATTATAAAATAAACACAGTTCCAAAAATGATTAAGGCCATAGGTTTAACAAATAAATTAGAGAAAGATTTTTTAAAAAATCTTGGAAGAATACAAAATCTTAGCAGCATGACAGAAGAGTTCAAAGTGTGGGATCCAGCCCCATGCTAAAACCTCAAGACTTTGCAAGCAAGCACATCTAGTATGGCTTTTGGAGAGTCACAACCTCTGGATAAGAACCTCTAACCCAATTAATGAAGGACAACAAAACCAAAATATTTTCACTTCACTTAGCATCTCAAGGATAGTGTTAATTATAAGCAAATAATCTTGTAGTGTGAATTGTTTGTGATGGCAAAAAATTTCTATAAAGTAAAAAAGTTTCATTAGAAACTGACCAATATTAAAATGATGAAATATTTATCCATTACAATCCATTATTTTATGATGATTTGAAATTTAGCATCATGTAATATGCAGGACATCAAAAAATAACACTGTTTTCCCAGACTATTTGACAATTTTGCTCAGTAATTCTACAGTTATACATTTATTTTTTAAAGCTGAGCTTTTATTACAGGGACATTTCCACTTATCTGTTCTATAAATAGTAATAAATTATACATTGAGGTATTCCACAGATAATTCACGTTTTAGTGTAATTTAGTTCCAATCTAGAGCTAAAATATTCCATCATCATATACTGATTTGATCGCTGAAAATTGCAATATCATTTTTCAAGGACAATGAGGGAATATCTTATCCAATATTAAGCATGGGCGATGCACATAAAGAAAAAAATGAGGCTGATTAAAATATGGGGGATTTTTTGCAAGTAGAAAGATGTGGGAATTTTGCTGATTATTTGTCCCTCTTTTTTAAAATGGTAGTTTTACAAGTAGCATATTGCAATAGGGCTCAGTATCAAAATAATTGTTTAAAAGTAATAACATTATTTCAAATCAGATTTGTAAAACTGAATTTTCACAACAGGAAATAGTGCCACATCTGATCAATGACACCAGAAAGAAAGAAAGAAAGAAAGAAAGGAAGGAAGGAAGGAAGGTAGGTAGGTAGGTAGGTAGGTAGGTATTGTTCTTCTTGAGTTATTGATGAGAAACTGTGGGGGTCTTACTCCTGAAACTGGTTAAGAGTTCCCTGAAAACCATTTACTCTCTCAAAGTACTTAGAATTTTAACATTTGTGAAAAATTGCTGACTTCTGGGAATAAGGTGAATCCCTTGGAATTGGGCAGCTAATAAATTCAAATAAATAAATAAAGCTTTGTCAGTTTGTTTTCACTTGACTCTTGCTCCCTTTTCCTTGCTGATATGGCATGATGCAAACTGGCTGAGTGAACAAACTGAAGAATCTCACACCACAGTTTTTATATAAAGAATCCTTTTAACACTTGATACAGTGCAGTATCAATATGGGGTAAGGGACAGACTTTCTCTCCAGGCTGAATAAACTAAATAGCAAATGCCTGATTCTATAATGAAGCAGCTGAGTAGAGATTGGATCCTAGGATCCA